AAATAAGACTCTTTTACTGAATACATGTCGGCTACTTCCATTTCTCTCAATAAAAAGCTAAATAAGATAAATTTGATTCCGTTGGTGTTGTACGATTGTTGTTCTGTGAGTAGAAAGTTTTTTTTGTCCTGAGTTTTCCCATCCTGAAATTAAAACTCTGTAGTCTACTTTTTTCTCAGTTTGAGTCCTTGGAGTTTTCCTTACGACTTTGATATTTATCTGATACCAAATAAATACTTGGCAAATATATTTGTTACCAAAGTCAACATCAGTGTTTTTTACTTGTAATGGGATGTTCATTGAATAACTTTGATATCGCAGACACCCCTCCTGGTGCTGAAACAGATTATTGAAGGGAAACAGTAAGTTGGGACGACCTGTCAGGGATTATGAACAAACAAACCTTTTTTTTCGTTTCTGTCTTAAAGTAATTTTCTTTTATTCTATCTGAAACAGAAAATGAAACTCAAATCATTTAAAAAATTTTGCTCATCCCCTTTTAACACTAAGAATGAGAAACGCTTTGTGTTTAAATTTTAATTTCAGTGTTTTGAAACAAAAATCAAATATCCACTTAATTCTTGTTTTTTAATACCCGTTTCTAAAATGAAAAACCAACGACCAAAAGATACACTGACCCAGAGGATCCAAGCTTGATGTGAACTGAAACTGCCCATGTGGAAAACTGAACTGAGTTATTTGTTTAAAACAAACAGATTATACAACTGGGTTTACTAAAGTGGAAACCTTACAGAAATAAAGATAAAATCATTTTAAAAACACAAGATATCCGTAGTATTGGCTACCAGACTGCAACTAACCGAGATAACAAATCAGTCTTTATTTTTCTATGTTGGTCAAATCTGGCATTTTATTTGAGTAAATACTGTATATAAGAATGTGAACGTAAAACATGTACAATAGGTTGCCTTCAGGCCCAGGCCTCCCTTGAAAAAGAGATCTGAGATCTCAATGGGAGTTGGTTGGTTGGTTGGTTGGTTGGTACATTGGTTGGTTGGTTGGTTGGTTGGTTGGTTGGTTGGTTGGTTGGTTGGTTGGTTGGTTGGTACGAACGTACGTACGTACTGTAGGTAGGTAGGTCGGATGGATGGATGGATGGATATGTAAATAAAGTATATCACTGGGGTAAGTAAGAAAAGTATATAGGGT